ATATAGATAGATATTTGTAACCTTTAGATATCTTCTCATTAACGAGCGATGGCAGAATTGAACAGGAGATGAATCAACATATTGGGGCCTCCTCTGGTCTGTTGTGGTGAAAAAGAAGCGGAGCTGAAAAGCAAAGCTCTCAATATACTGGTCGCTCTATGTTTCAATCTTCACCTAAGATCATGATTTAAAATAAAGAACAAGATTGAAGAATCAAAGGGCTGAAATGGGCTTCCTTCGTAGGACGGCCCAACTCAGTCATACGGTAAACAGCTTGTTCCCTGGGAAGAGCTCAAAGTTGAGTCTCTGCTCCTCCTCATCAGAAGGTCACAAGGAAGGCGTCTGATTAAGATGCCTCCAACTGGAAGATGTTCTAATGGGAGGAGACCCCAGGACAGGCCTAGAGCTCATGATCTCTGGCCTGGAAACACCTTGGGACATAAGTATAAGTTATATGTTCGTTGTACATTGTATGTTCCCATACAATGACAAAATTAGTTCTCTGCATTTAACCCATCACACCCAGGTGGAGCAGTGGGCAGCTATGCAAGTGCCCGGGGAGCAATTAGGAATTGGGTGTCTTGCTCAGAGACACCATGACATGTGGGAATGGCTGGGGATTGAGCTTGGGACTTTTGGGTCCCAGGTTGACTGACCTACCTTTACCCCATCTCAGCCCCTACATCCTACATCCAAGGAGGAGATGGAGAGCGTTGCTGGGGAAAGGGATGTAAGGGTTTCTGGACGGATGAATGGATGAACAGACAGACGAACGTTCTTCGTTATATTGGCAATAGCTGTAAAATTAGTAGATGACTTTTTCTAAAATGTTAGTACTAGAGATCTTGAGACAATTGGTACAAAACGGAATGCTAGTTTAGAATTTTTTTTACTTAAATTCTGACTAATAAGAATATTATTTTGGTTTGTAATGCTGATATTGATATCTAGAAAAGAAGTGATAGAAGAGTGGATTGATTGTATGTTACAATGACCTGCCATACTTTGTGTTTATGTCATCTGTTCCATTTACAGAAACATTCTCCACACTCAAGGACGCCACTGTCTCCCCAAAAAGAAAAATATATATATATGATAAAAAGTGTAGCTGGGAAGAAACACAATAAAATGTTGTGTAAGAGCAAAAGTCAGACCTGTCTCATTATGTAGTTAGATACGGAGTGAGAAAAACCACAACATGTTGTAAACAAGGTGCAAAGGAGCATCACTGCTCTTATCGAGGGAGAAAAATGAAGCGAGGAGGCAGGTAATTAATTTGTAATGTGTAACAAAAAAAAAAACAGAACAGGAGGGGTTACCTCAGGAAAAATGGGACTACCCGCCCACTGCAACCCTGCCACGTTCCTATCATCATCTCTGTTGAACAAAATCCAGCCACATTACTTCCCCTTCAGATTACTCACAGCAACACAAGCTCAACATGAAAAGTGCACTCAGACACGACGTGTGGAGGAGCAAACTGCGCTCAGAACACATCAACATAAAACAGGACACCTGCCAGCCACTGAGCTGCACCAACGTGCAAACAGACCCAAAGAGAGATGCTCGGAGTCTCGTGAAAACAACCACAAGCGGAAGTAACCGGGTTGTCGGGGCAGAGCGATGCTGTTGCCAAGCAACCAGGTGATTCCTCTGAAAAATCCTCTCCTGGGGAGATTCCCTTGTTTAAGTAAGGGCATTTACTTGCCTGCGAGTCTGCACGCAGGCGTGCATGTGTGTGTGTGTGTGTGCGTGCATGTGTGAGATTGTGACTGTGTGTAAGTTAGTACTGACACAGTGAGCATACAGCGATCTGGGATGCAGCCATGGTAACAACACAGCAGGCTACTGAGGAGTTCACGGCAACTATTTTCCAGTTGTTGTACATTTTATTTATTCAGCAATTACGTATTTATATTTTATGGAGTACACAGAGTGCTGACAGTGGTAATTACCTGCAAACTTGCAATGACAAGCAGAGGAACACACACACACACACACACTGTCATAAGCTGTGGAAAATATTCAATTTGGAGAGCCTCGACAAATCCCTGAGGTGCTGCTGACGTTTATGCATGCTTCAGAGTATTCATTGCACCTCACACACTGATATCTGCAAACACACACACACACACACACATCTTTGCGTTTCCAGCAGAATTGGATGGAGGCTCAGACAGAGAGGAGAACGGGAGATAAGAAAGCGAAGACGGAGTCAGGTTTGGGAGGTGACGCCAGTCTTCACCGTTTGTAACTCGTGTCATATAAATAGCGGCCGGTAACAATGCGACTGACAGGCAGATGTAACCCTGGAGATTCATTAGGGCTCGTCACTATGGAAACCTGCAATCAGGAAGAAATGCAAACCTTGTTTTTCTACAACGGATGTAAGGAAATACCTGAGCTCTTCCAAATCCACATTTAGAGGCAAACACACACACACACACACGTGGATGTGCAGAATGTTGACCTTCTCCCCACCTTTCTTGTGTTTGAGGGTAAAATAAACATCCAGGCGCTTCTTGCCTTCTATATACAAAAGCTTTGATAAAGTCCAGACTATGCGCCTCTCGCACAATAAACAAAGAGGAACTTTCGCTCTGCGTCAGGTGCACTGTGGTAAAGGATATGGGTGGCAGACGACTCTAAGGCACCAGGAGCGAGGTGGACTGGTTTGGGTCAGAGCCAAAAGAACCACCGGCGCAAGGGAGGGGTACGGCAGCTCTTCCTTTTCCTTCTCCTCCTCCCCTCCCTCCTCTTCTTCTTCCCCTTTGTGCTCCAACTCCTCTCCCTCAACGGACACATGTACAGCCTCCCCCTCCTCCTCCTCATCCTCAGCCTCTTGTGTTGGGCCGTGGTGCTGCTCACAAAGGTCCAGCTCCTGGATGCCCGTCATGGCCGTGCTGGGAACAGCCCGGACCTAAAAGAAGAAGCCTAAGAGCATTGATCTAAAAAAATAATAATAATACTGGAATCGTGCTGATTGTCAAGTGGCACAGAAACAAACCTTTCTCTTTTATTTTTATTTCCACATATAAAGCAGCTCTGTGCGTGAATCTACACAAATGTAAACAGGGAGAACTAATAGGTATGAACTGAGGTGCAAACAGGGTCAAAGCTGACAACAGGAAGCACTTAGACCTCATAATAATCCCACAGCTGTATGATTCTGCCATGACAACAGGCCATTACTGCTGATGCTTTTAATCCAGACTAGCTTTAAACAATCTGGACACACAGAGATAAAGTGTCTCCGACAGTTCTGTCATGAAGAGAATTAACTGGTATGGGGAGTAACATTGTCGGGCACTGATTTAATTTTATTTACAACCGTTTTACCATACATTAACGCCGTTTAGCAAACTCCAGCATTGACATTTTTCATTTGACTGCTAATTAAAAATACAAACCGCAGTGACATTGACGAGCTAAAGCAGACTGGAGTTAAATTTTCCAAAGCACTGATGGAGATTTCTTGCAGGACTAAAATATCATCCGGGAAACGTCTGTTTAAATTTTAACATGAACTCACAGGAGCAAATTCACTTTTTTTTTTTTTTTGGAGTCACATCAACTTTCCTGCTTTATTAGGCAGTGTAAAGCGAAGCTTGGCAGGAAAAGATTCACGCACACATTGTCACACCTCACACACACACATTGGTTCTCCCTCTGTGCTCCTTCCAAGGATCCCCCAGAGATTCTGGTTAAATTTACTCTAAAGCTAAAAAATTCTTGTGAAGTTATCTGGACAACTGAGGTTTTTGCAGGCAAACTAGGAGTCAAAATACAATAGGGAAACTCAGTTCACTGCTTAAAGAAGAACATATCTTTCTATTCATTATGGAAACTTAGCTTGGACCATTAAATGAGTTCTGCACAGCTGAGGGGTTTTTACTGTGATTCAACACAGAGAATACACCAATTAGTCACAAAAAGGGCCATTTCTTACACAACTAAAAACCTGCTGATGATTCTTTTCAACATTCAAAAAAAAAAAAAAAACAACCTGATTACACAACCCTCTAACAGTCTGCCATGATGGATCCAAATCCTCCTTGTGCTTCCCAGACTGTACACCAAGACCTCTGCTGCTCTATAGAAAGGTTTGTACACATGTTGAGCAAACATTAAAACCTGCTTTATATTATTATAACACAAATGCAAGCTGCCTCGTGCTCAGTAAAGCCAACATAAACTGCAACTCTACTTATTTTACCCATAACCTTGAAGGCCAATAAATTGTATGACGAGGTTTCCAAGCACTATAATATAAAAAAGTCAGAGAAATCCTGCAAAAAAGCTGTTTAATCCAATAAAATCTAATCTCTCGTGATAAGTTTGAGTGATCATGGAATTTATTATGAGGCCTGATCTGCACAATAGCTCATTCTGTGAAAGACTTCACAACTGCGTGTGATTATTTTAGCCCATCTTTCCCTTTCTTGGTGAACGTTAACGACAGTGAGCGACATCATGGCCCTTTTTCAGAGCAGTGGACGGGACAGCACGGCAATAAAAGTACAGAACAGCACCAAAGAAATTTAAAAAAAGAAACAACTTTGCCCGGTGTTCTTACCGGGGAGCAGCGTCCATCCACCAGCGTGGATCTCTTACTCCCGGTCCGCCGTGCGCCCTGAGCTCTCCGAGCCCGGGTGCTCCATCAGAGAGCCGCTCGCTGCTCCTCTGCCTCCTCCCCCCCCCCTCCTGGATATCCAAACTCACTCCGTCAGCCGGGAGAATCGTGCAGACGGGTAAAAAACTTAGTGACGCGACGCACAAGTTTCGATAGAAAAGGTAAAAGTGAAGTTAAACGGGACCGAGCGGCTCCTTTCTTGTGCGTCTGCGCCCCCTCGGCGGCTGGACGCGCTGCGCGGTGTCAGGTGCTGGAGTTTGGGCACACCGGGGAGGAGAGCTGCGTCAAGCCAGTCAGAGCCAGGCGAGGCGCTCTACCTTCAAAATAAGACTATCTGCTCCAAACTGCCATGAAGATCAGCTGCTTGGGTTGACAATTATCGTTCAACTTGTAATATCTGGAAGGAAAAGTCATGAGTCGGCACACTTGATCATTGTTGGAGGAGCTGTCCAACAACTTGTCCACAAAAAGACCAATAATATACATTTACTAATTATCTGACTAAATGGTTGCCACGTGGCAAAAGTCAATAACACCTCTGGAGTCATTCTAGACGACTAGAGCATTGGTCACGTGATGTTTGGATTCATAGCAACAGCGGCCATAACCAAAAAGGGCAAGCTCTGGACTTAGCATTGTTTATACTGGCAAAATAGCCAACAGTAAGTGATGATTATGTCAAAACCGTAAAATATATTTATGATAAGATAAATGAAAATGTTATTAATATAATATTAGAGCATATATAAGTTATCCAAAGTAGGCTATATAATGATGGGGAAATGCCACAAAGCTGTGTTTGTACCAACTCAAGGGGGAAATGGAAATCATCTCATTTCACAATGAGCAGATTTGATCTTATTTAATTCATGGTGAATGTGATCTGACCATAACTGAAGCTATAATGTAACAATTTAAAATTAAAATTAACCTAACAAACCTTGTCATTGCTGTTAATTGCTGAATAGACCGGTAGATATCAGCTTCTGTGGTTCTACAGAGAGTAGCCACGCTACAATTGAGCACAAATTATTAAATAGTACAATCTGGTATTACCTCTGATTTGTGTAATGTTTACACAGTGTAAAATAATTTAATATACTTGACTGTTTTTTTATGTTTCCATTAAACAAACCTGACCCAGAAGATGGTTAGTTAATATCGGTAGAGACGTTTCATCCTTCAGAGTATCACCTGGTATGCAGTGAATATTTTCTAAGTGCCAACTACATAACAGATAAATAATCATAATAATGTTATGCAATACCCTTTTTATATAATTTCTGAGTTGTGTTCTGGCAGTTTTTCTATTGTCCATTTTTAAAATACTCCACAGAAATGACGGTGTTGCTATTATTCCATATATAATTCTGGAAAAGTGCTTTTCATACTTATACAATAGACAATGATCAATGTAATTAGCTGCAACTAGCAGAGACATTTATGCAATTTTTATGTTTAAAATGTTAACTGCAAATTCATCAAATACTTGAGGTCATAATTTTTCAGTTAGCTAAAAAGTCCAAGCTGAATGACTTTGAATCTAGTTTAGATCATTACTTCTAAATTATATCATCCAGATATTTTTACATGATTGTTGAATGAAATTAACATCAATTTTCAATTAATTGATTGTTAAAAGATAAATGATTTATGACACAGATCCAGTTGGGTTTGATGTTAATCAAATAGTTGCTTTGTCGGCTGTGAGCTGTTGCCATCTTTGCTCCTCCATGATGTCATAGATACAACTTCTAGTTGTCTTGTTTAACTCAGAGCCCTGGGTCAAGAAGGACCATCAGCCTAATGATGGATCATTAGCACACTGATGGCTGTTTACTATTCACAGGGGGCTGAGTGATACTAGCAATCACAGCATTGTAAGAGGGGGACAGTTGACAGTTGATCATATGAGCAGCTGGTTTTGGTTGTCAGCAGCAAACTGGTTGATCCACTATGAGAAGGTGCTATTTATAAGACTGAGCTGAATACAGGGCCTCAGACTGAGGAAGTCTTTCGGATGAAAGACGAAACGTTTCTACATTTTGTTTTGTTTTGTTTTTTGAATGTCCAGAGGACCAGACTTAACTTTTTTAGATTTAATAGCTTCCCAAACAACACTCTGTCTTTTAATGATCAACTTTTATGTGGGATGTCCCAGGTAAGATATTTTGTCCCAGGTAAGATTTTTTTGTCCCAGGTAAGATATTTTGTCCTAGGTAAGATATTTTGTCCCAGGTACGATTTTTTGTCCCAGGTAAGATTTTTTTTTGTCCCATTTAAGATTTT